CTGTAGAGTTGGAGTGGCAGGGAAGACAAGAAGCTCAGTCTTTGCCAGGTTGAGCTGTAGGTGATGTTCTTTCATCCATGCCGAGATGTCTGCCAGGCAGCCTGAGATCCGTGCAGCTACCGTTGGATCATCTGATTGAAATGAGAGCTAGAGCTGTGTGTCATCAGCATAGCAATGGTAGGAGAAGCCATGTGCCTGTATGATGGTACCCAGTGATGTAGTGTATATGGAGAAGAGGAGGGGTCAAAGAACTGATCCTTGTGGAACCCCAGTGACCAGTTGATGTGCTTTGGAAGTTTTGATACTTCTGCCTCAGTGAGGGGACAGAAGGAGAAGATGGGAGTTTTAGCGGTGGGTGTGGTTGGTTTGAAGTCCTGTGTGGGGGGGGCTGAGACTACTGATTGTTCTAGTTTTGTCTGTAAAGAATGTGGTGAAATCATTAGCTGTTATAGAAGTGGTGGGAGGGGGTGGAGGGGGACAGAGGAGAGAACTGAATGTTTTGAAGAGATTACGTGTGTCTGGATTGCTGTTGATCTTGTTGTGGAAGTATGAAGATTTGGCAGTATGGACTTCAGCAGAGAAAGATGAAAGCAAAGACTGATACATACTGAGGTCTGACGGATCTCTTGATTTGCGCCATTTTCTCTCTGCTACCCTGAGTTTGGTCCGATGCTCACGAAGAACATCGGATAACCAGGGGTTAGAAGTGTCAGTTGCTGCATTCACATCCAGAGATGAGGAATGGGTAGGTGAGCGAAGAGAGGAGGATACTACGGTGGAAAGATGGGAGGTGGAAAGGGAGCATAGATTTCGTCTAAAAGTAACCGGTATAGGGGTTGGTGGCACACAGGTAGCAAAATGTAGTTTAAATGTAATGAAGAAATGGTCAGAGATATGTAGGGGTTTTACCAAAATGTTGTCTGCAATACAATTGCATGTGTAAATTAAGTCAAGTTGTTTGCCTGATTTGTGCGTGTTTAACAAGCCAAAATGCAGAATGAAATTTCAGAGCTATGCTGGAGGGTATGATTCAGTTATGCTTTGTTCCTCTCACACAGTTGTGCAGCTTCAGAAGTGAAATGTACCAATCGCATAAACTATTTTTGGGTCATCCTTTTATGTTCTACAGAAGAAAGTCAGTCATACAGAATTGGAACAACATGAGGGTGAGAAAAAGATGACAGAATTCATTCAAAGAACATTACAATAAACGAGATGAAGGAAATCCTTGGATCTCATTGCTGTGTATTTTCATTTCTTATTCATTGCTCGAATAACCTTCACAGGGTTTCATAATGTATACTTATCTTCGTATGACAATGAGATTGTGTGGATGGTGAATAGATTGGGGAGTATGTGAGGATGGTGTATGACTCATCAGGTGAGGCGTATTGATCACTATGGTTCCCAAAATGTCAGCCCCAATCAGACATTAAAGAGAGGTGACTAAGAGTCTTTTGGTATCCACTCCCCAGGCAAGTAAGCACAAATACATACATGAGTACACATGATGCAGCAACATTCATAAACATAAACAAAATTAACACACACACTGCACGCACCTAACATACCAGTTAAATCACACATGTATGTCGTAATTGCAAAAATGCCCATGTCTTATGGGTGTTTGAGTGGGAGGAGAAGCTGAGAAGTGAGAGGATCTGGTGGTCATTTCTTCTAAGCATATGAGCCACTGAATTAGACAGCCCAGCACTATGAAGTTGTTCCCAAATGAATTATTTGTCCCCCAAATCAATGACCCAAGCACTAACACAGATCAACTCACCTGTCAGTCTCACGGATTCACACCCTGCAGCCATCCAGCACAACACTGCTCATCTGCTCTGAACATTACATCACACAATGCTGTTTTTGAACAGACAGGAGAGCCTGCTCTGCCCTTTTTGTACAGTGCAGCTGGCTGTCAAAATCAGTTTACGGTTCAGGTTCACTCTCGGATACTTATTCGATAAAATTATATTTTACCACTCTTTGCAAATTAACATCATTTTTTGTAGCAACATTAATTAATAAATGGATTTGCTGTCTGCCGAAGCAGATTCCAACGGCTTTGGCAGTTACAGTGAGCTTAAGTCTGAGACAATGAAAAAACAAGGAATAAAAACCTGATTAAATATATTTATTTCATATACATTTTTATATATCTATACTAATCAAATAAGTACAAATTTGTGACATTGTTCATGAGACTCTTTGTGCAGACTATTTAGACTAAAAAGCTGAAGATGCTTTTTGGATCGGTCTCAACTTTTCACTCAAACAATTATGCGGATGATATATTTTGTGACAAAAGAAATGTGAAAAATTGGAAAAATGGCAATAAAGCACTTTAACTAGTGGTCTCAGTGGATGACACGCTAGTTCACATAACATGGAAATTTACTTTATAAAACATAATAAACAGATCAATGTTTGCCAAATTTCTCTCTGAAGTTGTTCCTTTATTTGGGGCCAAGAAAGGTCAAGTGTCTGGATCTAGATGAGCAGGTGACCTTCATAAAGGCAGGGTGCAGAGCAACTTGAGTGAATGAAGCAGATTGCAGAGACTAACTCGGAGTGTGCTTGGATGACGACATGCATTTAAGTGGTTTCATTAGCCTTGTTGTCACTCAGAAAAGGGCCTTGAATTTGTTTTTGACAGCTACAGGAAGTGAAAACATGAAATCTCTTTTTCTCTGTTCCCCACATACACCATGTATCTCTGTTCCCCACATACAGTGAAAAATCATTGCTTAATGGAACTGCTTTTAATATATACATATTAAATTGATAAGGCGTAAAACGTATACATCATAATTAAAATTTTATTAATTCATGTTTCTTGATGACAGAAGATCTTCCCTGGCTATTTGTTTTGCACTATAGCTGCAGCCGAAAATTACAGTTTGATAAGTTGATAAATATGATTTGTATATTCAGGGGCACAAGTGCCTGGAAAAGACATGATTAAAGGAACCAAAATCACTTTTTAATTTATATATGCAAATGTAAATAGATTCAATGCAAATCCAATGAATATAATGAATCTGTAGTGGACTTGATCATTTCAATTTGTAAAATGGTCCTCTCTGTTTCCCTTTCATCAATATTTGATCTGGCTAATCATGTGTCATGGATCATAGTTTTGATCTGACCTCAAGGACAACACACAGACTGTTCCACCCCCATCAATCCTCCCTCTCATTTTCTCTCTTGGTTAAGTGCTTAATAAACCTTGATCCCCTGAGATATCTCAATACTATGGAAGCCCGTTTCCGCCACTGAATAAAAAATAAAAGAGGTAATTGCGACTTTTTATCTCACAATTCTGACTTTTTTTCTCAGAATTGCATGATATAAACTCGCAATTGCGAGTTAAAAAGTCATAATTGAGAGAAACTCGCAATTGCGAGACATTAAGTCGCAATTCTGAGAAATAAAGTCAGAACTGCGAGATATAAACTCACAATTGCGAGTTATGAACAGAGGCGGACAGTAACTAAGTACATTTACTTGAGTATTGTACTTAAGTACATTTTTTGAGTATTGGTACTTTACTTGAGTATATTTTTTTCTGGGAACTTATGACTTTAACTTCACTACATTTGAAAGACAAATATTGTACTTTTCACTCCACTACATTTCTATCAAGATCCTCGAAGTAGAAGGTCGTTACTATGTAGCAGCTTTGAAAGTCTGTGGGTGATTTTTTCTTCTCTAAAACATGACTTTCTTTTTTTCAGACAGTTTACCAGTAATCACTCTTGTAGGGCTACATAAAGAGATTTCCCAGCATTTTTTGAACACTGACCAATTGCAAATGTGATATTTATTTACAACAGTTCAATAATAAAAAATTAGTATTGTGGTATATATTAGACACAATATTGTCTGATTTTGCTAAATTGTGTACGTGAAAATATTACCTATAAAGCCACAGAAGAGCTGTTGTGCGTCTCCTAATAAAACACAATAGGTGTTGGACTTGAAGCAGCACTGCACCGTTCTGTGTGTGACATCAAAGTACCACGAGAGCGATTAGACAGCATTTAAAAAAATTTTTTTTGATGTCAAATAGGTCTTGCTGTTTTGCTTTTTTGTTAAAGCAGTGTTGCTGTTGTAAAGTTGTACAGCTACAGTTGTGTTGCTGTATTTTAAAGCAGGTTTGATTTTTTTTCTTGCTTATCACTCTGTATTTACAGGATTTCACTGTCCACTCTGTTCAAATGTGGATGAATGGCTATACATAGATGTGTGCACACACTGTCAGAACTGTGTGAGATCACTACCATCCTGCTTTTGTGGGGGTGGGTAGGGGTGTTAAATCATTTTGTTTTGTTTTGTTTTTTTTCCCCATAGGTTTTTAACATTCTAAAAGCTCTTTATTCCAAAGATACTACAAGCTAGTCAGTGTATTCAGCAGGTGTAATGTATTCTATGTTGCTTCA